AAAAAACGGTGGAAAGTAAATTCCACAACTAAAGCCCAGGTTGGACAACAAGAAACAGAATAATGAAATGACTCAGAAAGCAGCAAAAACCCGGCAGACAAACTATTAGAAACACTGCGAGCTGCCAAACATAAATTGGAATCCATCAATAGTCGAAGAGCAATTCCAGCCACCAAATCAAACTACATAACAGCAATCTGGAAATCAACCCCACCACTAATCCTCAAGTTTGAAGAAGATTGTGACATCCAAAGTCTAATCATCGTTAATCTTCCATCTAGTAATCTTAAGGGCAACTTGATTTATAATATGCCAACAAGGTCACGAAAACCTTGGGAGTCCTTCCATCCGTTTTTAAGAAGATGCCTTCAGTCACTTATGAATAACTTATTTAAAAAAAATTGACAGTTATATATTATTATTTCGATATGCTAAGAAAATTCTTTATTAATGCATATTATTTGGATCAACAACTCATCTGAATGATTGAACAGATTTTTGATAAATTTAAACTATTTCTGCCACTTACTATCACTTGCTTAAGTTGAAAATATTGCTTTGAATGCAACAAATAAATGGGTGGCATGAACAAAATTTTATGAGAAGAATTAAATTTCTGATTAAAGCCAGTTACCTTGCCACAAAGTGGATATTTTTCCTTTCGCTCCACCTCTTCATACATACAAGTATGGTGTAAATGATGAGAGAAATTAAAAGAAATAGCTCTATTGTATTAACATACAACAATATAAACCCTTAGCTTCATGCATCAGCCATGTGTGCTATTTCAAAGGCTAGAATATCTGACCCAATCTTCTCTTTGGTTTACACTCTCTCAGAAAAATTAGTCAATAATGAATACAAACCTACTTAAAATGAGTATGACCTTGTTATTCTTGGCGGCAAGTTCATGCTGGCAAAGATGGGTGGGGTAGAAAGGCAGGTACTACATCAATCCAACCATCCAAGATAACAAAGAATTGAGGGGCATGGCTTTTAATTAAGATCTAAGCATGATATGAGTTATGGCTAGAATGGAGAAAGTCTGTACCAAAAGGGAGGAACATCAAAGGTTCAAGTAACATCAAAGGTTCAAGTTGAGCTCAATGAATTATTGAGGACAGCTCCTATTTCATATCCAGTATTAGACTATTCTCAACTGTTATGTAGATGCTAACATTCGATACATAAGGTTTGATTGGTTATTCTCTTTGCAGTATTTACTTGCGGATATGAGAGGTTGACTTGATTTTTTTTTTTTTTTTTTAATGATGAAAGCATAACGTTTACAGCCATAGAGTCAAAAGGCTACTAATACCAACAGCGAGAGGACTTCACAAAAACATTAAGAAAGGATACCTATTTAGTGAAACAATAGATAGTTTAACTATCCAAAACAAAAAATCCTGTATGGAAGTGTAAAGAAAGGACGTCGACAATAAACATGAGACGATCAAAGCACGATGGGATGGGCTCATACCGCTGATAGTTTACTAATTTTGGCGCTGTCGAGCATTCAGTAGATACTAGATACTGAACTATTTTTTGTTGAATTTTAGGATATATATATTGGAAATTCGGCACGAGCAAATGAAAGAAAAAAAAAAATGAAAGCTCAAATTGCAGAATCATACTCAACCTGCGGCCCCCACCTCCACAGTAAAAAAATTGAGCTATTATATGCTCTTTTCAGCTAACTGAAAAGTTCCAAACTCAACCAGAATTGTGACTGCTAGGAAAAATCCAATCATGAAAGTGCTAGTTGAATACTGTGAGAACTGAGATTCTGGGATCCTAGACCGTAGACAAAGACATTTAAGACTAATCCAACCATAGCAACATATAGAACGCTCTTGGAAATCAATTCATATCACAACTTCAGGTCAATGAAGTCAGGCATAAACCAGTGCTTCAAGGGAAAAAAAAAACGTTTGGTCTTATTTTCTATGAGAATTTCCATTGCTATTTTAACCTTTATGCTCATTTCACAGTTATATAATCTTGGTTCCCAAATCAGGAACTGATGTAGAACTAAATGTATGTGAAATTATGCAATGTCAAAATTACACACCTTTTAAATTAGAGCAATAATAATTATGTTGGCTTCTAGTGATTTAAATAAGTATTAAACAATAGAGATATGATTAAAGTTTAGGCCAAACTACATGTAAGCGTTAGAATCACGAATAATCAATTGCAATCAAGATTAGCATAGCTTGGGGGATTTTAAAAGGAAATCCTTGAATTAATAACAAGATTAGACACTACTTGGATCCACTCATGCATACTCTTGATGTAAGATAAATGGAGATAGGTTGCACAACCTTTATGATGCTACAAATTAAAGGGAAGACTTAGAAAAATAAAAGACTTGAAAGAGAAATTCACCTTTATTAGGATTTGGAAATGATCTGCCATTGGGCTGGAGAGAGTTGTTCGTCGATAGCTGTGGCAGAGAGAAGATAATCCTTTCGACATATTCTACAATGGTACGGTCGACCTCTAAGTTGACGTCTAAGAATGGATATTTAAGGATATCAATTTGTCCTTGATCGTCGTAGACGAATCCGTGATCAAGTTCTGGATCCACCATGTATGAGGGAACATTAGATTTTAATGTACTGGTGCTTTTAGACATCAAACGGCGTCTTTCCGGAGGGTTGGACAACAAAGATCCTTGCTGAAATCTTCTGGGCAGCAAGCGACGTCTTTCCGAAGGATTGGACAGCAAAGTTCATTGTTGAAATCTTCTGAACTCCAAGCGATGGTGATGAGGACATTGATCCAAGGTTCAAACAGGTGTATCGCCGGAAGCATCGCAGATCGACGGCCACGATTCAGAGCTTATATTTTTAGTTATGATGCATTTTATTTTATGTATTCCTTTTGTACCCTTATGTTGAGTTGAGTCATGTTGGGGCCCTGAGGGTAATTTAGTCTTTACTTTTCTTGTATGCGTGAGACCTATTTATATGGGTCTTTTCTCTTGTAATAGCGATTGATGATGAATTAAAGAAAAATTGTGTTTTTGATTTCCACTTCTTGCTTGAGGGCTTGAGAGGAGAGAGCTCAAGGGGAGCAAACTGCAAGACCCGCCAATCGTTGGAAGAGTCCTCGATTCGTGGTTAATTCTCATATCATCGCGCTCATCTTTCTTTTGTTTCATCCTCCATTTTCTTCTTCCACCACCACAAATCATTTCCCCTTCAAGCTTTGGTGCCGCCGCCCCTAAAGGAACCCGCAGCCGGCCAATTCCAAGGCCAAGTCCAGCCACTTGCCGGCGAAGCTTCCCATCCGTTCGATCCTTCCCTCCGCATGCGTCGATTTTGAAATTTGAATTTCAAATTTCAAATTCTTTCCTAATTTGGAAATCTCAACGCCGACGGAAGCTTGAATATCCTACGGTCACCATTCTTTGACGTAGGATTTGATGACGACGCCACCGTGGGAGATTACTTGGAAAGAGTGGTTCCTACCCTTGCAAGTGTCATTGATCGCCCACAACTAAACTACAATTGGAGCATCGACGGTCGATTAATTCCATCGTCCTCGCCACCGATAACCTTCCCGTGGATCAAGACTGTTGTGGTTGCTACCGTTCTCATGGCATCGTCGGTTTTGCTAAAACCTTTCTTCCGCTAACCCTAGAGTAGTTGAGTGAAACATCCCCAAGGTGAAAACTCTCTTTATTAAGTTGTGGATTGTGATTAATAGCTTTTGGTATTGCTACTATCTTTGGTTATCTTTGAGTTTAGCTAATCTACATGTACTTCCTCACCTAAGCTAGTTGAAAATTGAAGTTCTTTAAAGAAATTTGCTTGTCATTTCAATAAGTTTTACGTGGATTTTCTTTACCAATTCTTGTTTAAATTTCTTAACAAGCTCCGTTGCATATTGTTTCACATCAGATGGCCTTCCGACAGTAGGCCGACAAAGAAAACTTGTTGAAATTCTTGGACAACAAGTAGGAATTTCAAGAAAGAGAGGGCAAATGTGAAGGGAAGTTTGGGAGGAGGTGGCTAAGGTTGATAGGGGTTGGGGGGGGGGAATTGGAGAGTTTAATAGAGTAGATTAATTAGATAAGAGAGAGAGGGTGGGGTGGCACATGGATGGGGGTTTTTTAATTGGGATTTGAATTGGAATAGGGCAATTTGAAATTGAATATTCTCCAATTAAAGGAGAGAGGGAAGGGTGGGCCGGCCCCTTGATGGGGATCTAATTGGGTGATTAAGAGGGGTTGCTAAGTTGAGAAATTTAAATTAGGAAAGGAGATTTAGGATATCTCCTTTTCAAAATTCAAATTAATTTGAATGGTGGGGCCTCCTAATTTAACTCATCTATTTTAGGGAAAAAAATTCAGATTTAAAGAATTAAAAACCTGATTTTGAAATATTTCCTAATTTATGATGTACTAAATTTGGGAAGCTTTGACTAAGGGGAGAGAATTGGGGAGGTGATTGATTGCTTGGGTGGCCGGTGGCTTGAGAGGGTGTGATGGGTTGTTGGTTTGGAGAGGAGGTGACCGACGGCTAAAGGACGGGGAAGTGGTGGCTAGAGTTCGAGGCGTGGGGTTTGGGTTTGGCTTTGCCAACAGTTAGGGAGGAGGGTGATCTAGGTGGCCGGCGTCTAGGTGGCTTTTTGGGGCCAGTGCCTAGTAGGAGTGGAAGGGGCTTGGCCGGCGACTTCTAGAGAGGAATTGGATGGCAGTTGGGATAGAGGGGGGAAGCAGAGGAAAAAAGTTAACCACGAGCTCGGACATTTCCTGCGGCTGGTGGGTGATCCTTTGCCCACAGCTAGGATTCTCACCAAAGCTCTCTCTCAAAAGACACAAGAGACTATTACTTAAATTTCATAATAATCTTCATTGACCCTCATGAGAATAGGAGGAGGTTATAAATAGTCTTCACATAAGATAACAAAACAAAAGGCAATAATACCCCTTGAGGTTACAAACATCTACTATCTCAAGTCAGGGTAAAATCGGAAAAGAAACAATAATAAATCAAAAGTCATTAATAACTCAAAAATAAAGCGGTGTAATCGTGGCCGTTGATCGTCAGCCCCATATCTGATAAACTCTCCAAGGTCGGATGTCCTCATTAGGAACCTAAATTAAGCTTAGCATTCTTGTCAATTTACATTCATCGATTCAAAATTGTAACCTTCTAGGTTAAAGGTATTAGTATTATATTAGAATCTTTATTTTTATTTCAACTTCGATATAGAGCTAATCTCCATTCTCACATGAATCTTAACAGAACCTGAAGTTAATTGCTAATCTTCCTTCTATCTACCATCACTTCCAACTCTCAGAAGACATCACACTGCCTTCCCATTTCTCTACAATTTGGTTCAAAATCTGCTCCTCCTCTACTGTTAGATCTTCCATTGCTTGCTCAAGCTGAGCAACTAGAGCTGGATCAAATACATTCTCCTCAAAACTTTCACTAGTTCCACCTGCTGTTGGATGTTCAAAACTTCCAAACTTAGGTGTCACATGTGATCCATTAGGCATCACTTGCCCTCCCTGCATCAGCCAGTCTCTCAAGCTCCCTGTCCTCGCAAACTCGAATGCTGGGACTTTCAAAGCCACAAGCTCGGTGGCCATCATCTTTCTCTTCAATCCCTTCTCACCTTCTCCACCATCCTTTGAACTTTCAGAAGACTGTTTGATTGAATTCAAGCTCATCGAACAGTCTGTTTTTCTTTGTTCTTCAACTTCATCGTCATCCTCTAAACCAGCCAGTAACTCCCATGAATTGATAATCTCTATGTTATTCTCAGATTCCCCAGCTTCGATTATCGGCGCCATCAAATTGAAGCTTTTGGTTGGTGATGCATTATTGCATGTGGGAGATGATTGCTTTGAGGATTCCTCTTCATAAAGCTGTTTGGCTGGACTGTTGGAGGTGCAGAGAATAGTTATAAATTGGTGTTCTGTTCCATTCTTGGAGACTAATGTTTCTTCATGCCCGCTTGTTTTCTTCTGTAAAGGTGTGTGAAATTCTTCTCTGGTGCTTACTGACTTTATTAAGGTTTTGGAAGAGCCACAGCCCATCTCAGCCAATACAGAAATCAATCTCCTGCAATCAGTTTGAGATAATTAAATGATCAAATTAAGTGTGGAAATATAAGCTACAAATATGGGTTATCATATAGCAATTCCTGAAAGAAGTTTTCCATGGATGAAAATGGAATTGCTTTAATGCAAAATTTCTGCTTTCTTTATCCAGACCCAGCAACAAATCTCTCTCAAATTTGAACCCCAAAAGAAAAAAAAAAAATCTGGAATACATGATCGATGGATTCCTAAGGTTCTAATAGAAATCAAAATCAAAGCCACAATCTACAAAATTTAGAAAAAAAAAAAAAACTGTAAGAAGGAGAATAAATCAAATTTTCAGTAGGATGAACAAATTTTTGGTTCATACCTTGTGCTGGATTCATCAATTTCATCATCTTCTTCTCTTTTCTTAGACAATTTTGTCAAACCTTCACGTTGTTTATAAATTGATTGCTTCCTCAAGAGAGAGTCAAAGTGGTGATCTAATGCCTGCATAACAGAGAAACAAATTGTTAACAAATGAAGGCTGTCTTCTCTTTGTTAGGATATTTCTAGAATCTAAACGATGGCCTTGAAATTATTATTTGACTCGATGCCGTGTTCAATTTCTGCCGGCCAATCATGAATAATAAGCCTTATTAATGTTTCTTTCATTTGCCCTATGTATACCCCACAGCTTAAAAAAAAATAACAATAAATTTATTTATTTTTAATAGGTGGTTGAGGACCAAGCTAATAAAATGGAGCTATTATATCTTTTTAAAACTTTATGAAAATGGAAGAGGACCAATCTAATAAAATGTAGAAGTTGAATGATAGATATTTAACTTATGATTGCACACAAAATCTTGACTACAATGGATAAGGGCATCTCCAACGGAGAACTCCATTTTTCACGGCAAAAAACAGCAAAACTCCAAAATGCCATGGTGCTGCTCCAATCGAACGCTATTTTATGTGCTTTTGCGAAGGTAACGATCATTCTCCTTTTCGCGTGTTTTTCCGGTTGAGAGAGCAAAATAGCGTAGGTGAACAGTGCCACGCCAATATTGGCGTCGCACTGTTCACCCACAAGTAAATGGCGGAAAATTTGACGTTCGGCTGGAGATGCTCTAAGCATTATTAAATTATTAGTCCACATTTTCAGGTATTTGAGGCGTTTTTTATTAGTTACCATTGAGGCCCATAATTACCAAAATAATAATAATAATCACAGTACTGCCACATGAAATATATAGAATAGAAAGCACATACTAGCATAATAGACAACTTTAAGAGGCTATGATCAGTACAAATTGAGGGCCGGCAGTATAAACTATACAAATTACCAAAAGTAGGAAAAATTCAACCGTTAATTTTAAATTATCAAAGGCATATTGGTTCTTGTTGGTTACATTTGTACAAGCCATACGTATTAGGGTTTAGAAATAATTAACAAATTTTTTGACGAAAGATTTCTGCTTATTATGAATGTTTGTCTGAGCAGATTCGGCCAACTTTGATCTCTCCTTCTTTATGTAGATTTAAAAGAAGGTTAAAACTTCCCTATCAACTCTCAATCGCTTATTAAATGAGTTTTTCATATATATAAATTATGTTGTCTTTTATAACAAAGAAGAACTCTGACGTCTCTTTGAAATCATTTTCATTAGGACTTATATATTCAAAAGTTAAGACTAACATTTCGTTTGGGATAACATTCTTATTATTTTTTAAGCAATTTTTTAGTACAAAAAAATAAAATTTTTAGTAAGATAGCCGTCTTAAACGAAGCTTCAGAATTCATTTGGGCTAGTTTTCTTATTATTTTTTAAAACAACTTTTAGTACAAAAATTTCTTGAACTAAAAAATTTATACGAAAAAGTTGCTTTAGAAGGCTATCGTAAATGAAGACTTGGCATGACTTTCTTATTGCTTCGCTTTTCATACTATAACGTTAATTTCCATTTGGCGTTTATTTTTTAGCCGATTTCAAAAAAAATTGTGCCATAAAACTATGTTTTACAATACTTCTTATCTCTTAATCACTTGTTATATTGTTATATCGAGTTGAGTTAGAACAAATGGGCTTGATTCAAAATCAAAATAGAAATTGTGTCGAGTTATGTTGGTTTGAAATAATTTTACGGTGAATGGAATTTTGTTGCGTAATTCGTCAACCCAAAATCACCAAGAATCATTGTACTAGTAGCAGAATGAAGAAGGGAAACAAATCAATACGAAGATAAGAATGAAGAAATTAAGAGATTGTTTGATTAGCTGAAAAAAAAGAACTATAAAAGGAATATAGTATAAAGGAGACGCAATGTATTTGAAACGTAAGTGGGCAGTAGCCGGTGATGATGGCGAGTGCCGGTAATGACGATGGATTTGTGAATTGTGATGTATTGCAAATCGTTCAAATATGAGGAATTTCAAATACGTCAAATTTGAACTAGATGATAAATTCAAATATATTAAAATTTGACACTGCATTTGTTTTACTTCAAACCAAACACTAATATCCTAAAGACTTCTATATTTGAAATATTTTATAATCATTTTACTTCAAATAAAAAAAACTCCTAAGAGACGACCCATCTTTGAGTTTAATGGTGGAACTTGGACTCCTAGCTTTCTTCTCAGTGCCTGATATGCCCCAAATTTTGGAGAACTTAGGCTTCGTTTGGGACGGCCTTTTTATTGTTTTTTAAAATGGAGTTTTAATAAATTTTTATTTTTATTTTTATAGTAAAACTCCGTTTTATAAAACAATGAAAAAGTCGTCCCAAACGAAGCCTTAAATATGCCCTATGCAATGAGGAGCTACACTAACAAACTAACCAAATTGAATTGATTTTATTTGATTCAGTTGCTACTGAATTTGATTACAATCATGATTTTTTTAAAAATTTTTGTTCAATTTTTTATTTTATGAAATGATTAAATTGAAAAATAAAATAATATTAATTTCTTAAAAAATCAATCTACTTTGCTTTTATTTACAAGCATAAATAGATTTAATGCATTTTTTATTTATAATGATGTATTAATGACATATTAAAATCAAATTAATGCATGGCATTTATTCAAAATAATTTCGATATTGATGCCTTCTGAAATTATTAATGGGTATTGCTTGATTAGGGTTAATTTTGTTATTTTTTTAATTAATGTATTCTCATTGAATTCAGTTAATTCATCGAATTAATAAATCTAATAAATGTGAGATAATTATTTTATCGTATGAGAAATATTGATAAATAAATAAATTAATATATTGGTATTTATTTTATCAAGCATTTTTTATATAGAAAAATTATTTTCTAACAAAAAAAATTTGTGATTTATAAATAATAAATATAAATTCTATTTGAAATAAATTTGTATTCAACAAGTAATAACATATTATATGTCAGGTGAAATTTTTAGTTATAAAATTTTTATCTTTCTTTGTGCTCCCAAATTTCCTTCCCCAAAATTCCCGAAACCCTGACAAGAAGCTAAGTAGTCGCGACAGGACGAGAAATTATTGTGTACGCAGTCCGAACGCAGGGATAGGTTCGGATGCTGCGTATTTACTTCTTATTTGTTGCATATTTTTTATGTATTTAATTTTTTTTACATATTTTTTGCGTATTTATTATGTATTTAGTGAGTATTTAGTGAGTATTATTTATTTATTATTTTTTGACATAAAAAAGTTTTATATAAAAAAATAAACAACAAATAAGCAGTAAATAGGGAGCATCTGATCGAACGCGTTCGGATTAGGTACAATAATTTCTCCGACAGGACCTCACTGGAGAAGCATCGGCGGGTGCAGTGGCATGTGAAGAGCAAGCGGAGTTCGTGAGCCTTGTAGATAGGCTAAATCCGCCCAATGCGAGGATTTACTAAATCCGGGATTTAAGGCAAAACGAAGGAGATTAAAATGGTCGTCTGTACCGTTTGCAGGATTTAGAATCGCGCACCGCCTGCTTCAGCTGATAATGCCGGCATTGATCATGGTTGTATTTTCTCGCTTATCTCGCAACGATAGGGTTATGTCGGTCTGCGGAGGATATTGGTATCGGAGGTTGAAATCATCTCTTTCCTTTGCCTCAAGGTAGTTTCTTTTTCACGTCCTCGTTTCCTTTTAGGGTTCCCCCTTGAAGTTGAGTTTGAAGTTCCACTCTTTCTTTTTTCACAATTCATTTTCTCATGTTTACTGTGTACTGTCATGCGATTGTTTCACAGGTATTTTGTTATTTGATGCTTTTAAGCGACGAATATGTATATAATTATTGATCCTTCATCATGCTGTTCATACCAAAAGAAAATTGCCGAGATATTAGGAGGATTAAAGTTCATGCTTATGCTGTAGTGTATAGTATTAATGATTATACTGAATAAATCAAATTCTGTTTTATTGATTTGGTTTCTCTAAAACTTAGATTAACTCGAATGTTATAGAGGAAACTCATTACATAAATTGGCTGTTTCCTCCAGTCACTAGAGTGCACTATTTTTTTATTCATTTTATTGTATTAAAAATTGCTGGCCTAAATAGTAAATGGATTGAGTAAAAGTTTGAACTTGTAGCTTTTTTGTGGTTTAAAAAGTGATATAACTTCGAAGGGTAAAAAAAAGAAACTTGTTAAATGCAATATTCAGTGTGAACTATTGGATATATGGAAGAATCAATTGCAATCAACAATGGTGAGATAATTTGCAGGGAGTTATTCCTCAACCCATATTGTTTAAATGGAAAAGGTTTGTATGGTTCTGAGTACACAGGGGAAATAAGGAGATAGATTAGTCATTGAACCACTTTTAAATAGTTCTTCATGTTATATAAGAGAAGTTATTCCTTGTTAATTATTTTTTCCTCTGTAAATCGTTCTCTTAACCGCACCCCACTTGCAACCACACATACTTTGAAAATGGTAATGTGGAAGTTATCCAAATTTGTCTTATATAATTGTTTTTTTTTTCTTTCTTTAAGCACTTGATCCAATCTTCTTTTCTATGCTATTTAAAAGGCCTTATTATGAACGCATAATTTTAAATCTTCTACCCTTCATCCTTGTTTTTTTATATTTTCAATTTACGATTAATATCATACTTATTTTTCATCGCCTGTTGGTGTTGCTAGTTTTATCTAGTGATAACAATGATGTTCACTGTATGATACAAATCCATTATATTAGTACTACATTGTGTTTTATCAAAGAATTTCTTTCCATGTAGCCATGCTTTTTTATATTTAGTCATAACAATGTGAAGATGGATATTGAATTTTGGCATCATTTAGGTTTTTGATACAGTCAAGATTTATCATTTTATGTTTTTTTATTTTCTTGTGTTTTGGGCGCTATGTAATTTTATTTTGTATGACCCTATGATGGAAAACAACCCATGATCATACCGGGTTTGGTGTTCTCAGGTCGGTTTACACCATTGTGTGTCCACTTGTGTTGATCTTGTTCCTTAGTGGCTAGTTGGATGACTATTTTTTTGCTTATTGGGCTTGGCCCATTCCTTCCCGTAGATTGATGGTTGCTTGATTTTTTTCTTGCTGGTTGTTCAATTTCTCTGTTGTCCACTCGGTTTCCCTACTGTTGTCTGCTCGGTTTCCCTGCTGCTGGCTGCTTAGTTTTCCACTTGTTGTTTCCATGTGCAGAAGGCTTTAGCTTTTCCACTTGTGGGTTGATTTGGGTGGGTTTTGTTGGCTGTTTTGGAGGCACATTTATGTGAGCAAATAAATGCTATTTCCCCATCTTTCTCCTATATATAGTGTCTGAATTTCATTGTGGGAAAGGAGTTTTGAAAAGAGAAAATGTAAACCTAAGGGTTTTTAGCTTGCGAGCTAGTCTTCCCCTATCCCATATTTCTTTCTCTTAATTTTCTTTCTACTTTTTTTGTCCACGATTTTCCTTCCACCTGTATCTTTCTTCTAAGAAAAAGGAGTTTTTGGAATGTGATCAATTATAAAACCTGAGGGTTTTTAGCTTGCGAGCTAGTCTTCTCCCTATCTCCTATTGCTTCGTCTTGGTCTTCTTTCTACTTCCTCTCTCCACGGTTTTCTTTCCACCTATATCTTTCTTCTCTAAACTATTATGAGTAGTAAGTGGTGATGTGCCATGTTCTTTTGGTATTGGTCGGAGGAGCAAAGTCTTGTGTTGGATCATAATTTCTGTGGTGGTTAGCTGTTTTGCCATTTCTTTTGAGCACCTTCCCTAGTTTGTGTTTGTATGTGAGATGACCATTCATGATTGTTCTGAGGGTTTATGTGTTTGTTATTTGTTTTGTTTTATGAGGCTTTATAACAAAGTTCCGATATTAGTTTTCTACTAATTGTCCATCATTTTGGTAATTGCTTATGTGATATGGAAAGGAAGCATCTTTATTTGCATTTCTAGCGTTCTTCTGCTTGGTTTAAGAACTAAGGTTGCATCAATTTTGCTTATTGATTTACCAATATCCTTAAATCATGAATGTCAAGGGAAAAATCTTACTACTTGCAACTATATTTCTTTTGTGATACATGACTTCTCACATCGTATATCCCCTTATCGTTGTGTTTGTTCTCATTTTCAAGATACTAATTGTATAATTTGAGATGCTTCTCAGTTTAAGGCGCATAAGAAATGCAATGAGGCATAAGCCTCACATGTGCTAGCTAAGGCATACGCCTTGGTGATATTTCTGTGAGATGTCTCTTATTTTAGGGTTTAGGTTATTTAAAACTTTTAATTTATAAGTTCAAAATATCAAATGAAATGTATTTGTTTATACCTAAATCTAGTTGTTTATAAAAAAATACCTAGAAGAAAATCAAGAGCCTTCCCATACCTCAAGACAAATCGCAAGACCCCCCACTATGCAAAGTTGCACCAAAATCCCACTTCGTCATCACCGCTATTGCGTCACCATCGTTGCACTATAACTACACCATAACTAATTAAAAGTGTTATTTAAAGAGGACAGTTTTGCATAATGATGAAGATCCATTAGTTTGTAATGATGTGCAATAGGTTGATGAATGGTTTGTGGAGGACTATAATCATGTTAAACCATCACAATTTGAAGAAGAAGATTTCAATTTTAACTTCTTTGGTGGATGAAGGAATTAGACTAACATAAATCAACAAGAAAGTATTAGAAAATTTTAGTTGAAAACTTTGTGTAATCGAAATTAGAATCATCAATATAGTTATTGTTTAAAAACTTTCATTGGTATTTTTTTTTTTATTGATTAGGAAGGAGGGAGATTGTTGATATTGATAATGAAGAGGAAGATTGGGAGTATGTCGACATAATCGAGGATGGGCAAGGAGAGAAAGTGATTAATTATAATGATAATTCTATTGAAGATCTTCTATGCGATGAGAGTGGGGGAGAAACTTTTGAATTCATAAATTATGATTTTAGATTACTTATATTGACTTAAAGAGTCAGAGAAATTTATTATTCAATGATTGTGGCCTTTATATAATATTTTATAATCTTACTCTTATATTTTATTTTGATATTAGTATGTTATTATTTTATTTCTTTAATTTAATAGTTTAATTCTAAGAGTTTTGCCCAAAAATTCTTTGATGGTTATACATTCATATAAAAGAAATTTTAAATTGAGATTGAATGGTAGCTATAGGGGGGGGGGGGGGGGGG